CATTTTCTTTTTTTATACCATTGAAAGTGTAAACACGCCGCCATTTTTGACCGAATACATTTTGCACGTGACTGTATGTACAAAAATATAATTTGACATATACAATAAAGACTTTCCACCTGTAAAGAGGGTTTACTTATATTGTTCTTGAATTAAGACTTAAATTTCGAAATTTTCTGCTGTGAAATTGCATGTAATTGAAAGTTTTTCTCGCTTTGGATAGTAGTTTTTCTTTAGCCTCAGCTCGGCATTGCCATTCTCGTCGAATTCTACAACTTCGTCTCTGGGATTCGTGTTACATCCCTCCTCTGGTAATATGTTTCTACAGTTCACTCTGTTTTCCGCGATTTGTTGCTCCCTCTTCCTTTTCTCTGCAATTTTTCTGTCAGTAATGCTGGGTTGTTTATCAAAATTCCTCTAGTAGATAGGTGGTAGGATATCTCCAGGACTTTGGTATTGTGAATTCCTTATATTTACACGTGTAGCCTTAGCTGCCATCTCTTTACTTGCTGCAACATACAGATGTTGGTCTCTTTGTAAATGTTGTGTGAGAAAATATAATTTCTCGTATCTGTGAAGACATAAGCTACATTCCAACACTTCATGGAATTCTTTATGAAATTTCTGCCAGTGTCGCATATATTTTCGAAGAGTGGGATAAATACACGGATCACAGCCGTTCACTTAACAAGGCCATGCCTTGGGAAGGCCAGTGCGTTCTGCAGTAGTTTTGATGGAACTTGATCAATTCATCCTCCTTAACATGTAAATCATCGACTTCCATGATACTGAAAAAATATATAGATAATAATAAAGGGGTTATTGTTTAATATCAATAAAATGATACATATGTAAATCTTTGTTACATTAAGTAACAGTTAAAGTAATCATAGAATATTCCTACAAATGCAAACAATAACTCGAAGTTTTACGTTCTCTTGAACTAAAATTCTCCAAGTCTACTGATATGTACAACACTTTATGAGGGACTATATATATCTCTAGGCTTAATGGGTCTTCCACAACGAGTTCTGCGGAGAGAGAAATCAGATGTTGGGTTTACACATGAGAAATCCCTATTATCTAAAGACAATTCAGTCTCTGGTTCTGAGCTAATTTGTGTATCTGATAGTAACCAATTTTCAGGAAAATTTCTGCCTCTACATGATTTGAGATGGTCAACATGAACTACTAATGATGGCGATGTTTCATTTTTCTGAATCTTGTATGTTATGTCTGTTTTTTCCAAAATGAGATAAGGTCCCGTCCATCCCAAGCCTAGTTCTTGTCCTGCACTAGGGGGATATCTCCAAACCCAATTTCCAGGAGTGAATTGTCTGGTTTTAGCATTAATATCATGATCTAATTTTTGTCTTTGGAGAGCAGACTGAAGATGGGTATGTGCAAAATTGAAAGCATTTCTCATAGTATTCTTTAGCCATTCTATGTACAAAATAGGACATTTATCATCTGGAGAACTAGGAGGCAAACCCATCATAATGTCAATAGGAAGGGACAATTCTCGACCCATCATTAAAAGATTTGGGCTACAGTTTGTACTTTTGTGCACTGTCGTACGATAACCCATCATAACATAAGGCAAATGGTCGTCCCAATCATCACGATTCTCGTTAACAAAAGCTGAGAGCATATCTTGCAAAGTTCTGTTAAACCTCTCTATCATACCATCGGATTGGGGGTGATAGGTTGTGGTTCTATTTTTTTTCTACCCCAAGATTTGTACAAAGAGCTGTGAATAACAAAGACTCAAATTCCCGGCCTTGATCTGTATGTATTACCCGTGGTACTCCAAATCTACTGAAAAAAATCAATGAAGAGTTTATCTGCGACTGTATACGCAGTATGATTTGGTAAAGCATAAGCCTCTTTCCACTTAGTGAAATAATTACCAACAAGCATAATATATTCATTGCCATTTGAGGTTGCTGGAAGGGGACCCATAATATCTATTGCCATTCTTTCTAAGGGATACCCAAATTTGCTAGATTGAAGTTCAGATGTACCTACTCCAGGACCAGGTTTTTGTCTTGCGCATTGATCGCATTGTGAGCACCATATTTGAACATCAGCATTCAAACCAACCCAGTAATATCTATGTTTGACAGATGAGATTGTTTTATCTCGACCGAGATGTCCAGCAGTTCTGTAGTTATGTAATTGTTCTAAAATATTTTGTCTTAATTCAAAAGGAACTACAAATTGATATTTATTATCGCCAGTATTGTTGAAATTTACGCGATACAATATTCCGTCTTTAGTTCCAAAGTGTCCCACATACTAAATAAAATTTTAGTTTCAGTATTTGAATTCGACAGTACAGAACAATTGGGTTTTTCTGTGTATTCTGTTTTTAAGTCAATGATGGGCTTTAAAGATGGATCATTTGTTTGCAAGTTTTTTATTTCAATTGTTGATAACGATTCCATCCATAAACTATGATTACTCTCAGTGCTCTCAGTACTTTCGGTACTTTGATTTATTAAAATTGGATTTAATCGGGCACTGGAATGTTTTGAACAATCAGGACAATTTTGGAAGGGGCATTTGCGTATTGGAATACGCGATAAGGCATCTGCATTTGTATGTTTTACACCTTTTCTATGCTCTATTTTGAAATCATAGGTCTCAAGTATGCGCAACCATCGTGCAAGAATTCCTATTGGATCTTTGAAATTTTTAATCCAAGTCAAGGACGAATGATCTGAACTTACAGTAAAATGTCAACCCCATAAATAATGATTGAAATGTTTCACAAAATAGACGACAGCTAAAAGTTCGCGCTATGTGGTGCAGTAACGCTTTTCTGCTTGGTTTAGCGTTTTACTAGCATAGCTAATGACACGTTCTTGACCTTTCTGAAATTGAGATAAAACGGCGCCAATACCATTTGCACTCGCATCTGTGTCTAAAATTAAATGATCTCAAAGTGTTGGAAAAGTCAAAATTGGTGCATTAATAAGCAAATATTTTAATTCTTGGAAAGATTGAGCATTTTGCAGTCCAGTTAAATGTTTTATTTTTCCTAGTCAACTGAGTCATTGGACTCGCTATTTCACTAAAATGTGGAATGAAACGCCGATTAATATCCCGCCAGGCCTTAAAAAAAACTTTGAATGTCTTAAACGTTTTCAGGTTCTGGCCTATTTTTGACCGGTTTGACATTTTCATCTAGCACATGTACGCCATCTTTTGATACTGTATGACCTAAATATGAAACTTGGGTTTGAAATAAAACACATTTTTGGGGTTTAAGTGTTACGTTGGACGCTCTCAACCTGTAAAAATTCCAAAGAATTTTCAAATGTTTACCCAAAACATATTACATCGTCAAGATAACACAAACATCGATCTATTTTCATACCTTTCAAAACAATATCCATCATTCTAGAGAATGTAGCGGGGGCATTGCAAAGACCGAAGGGCATGACGTTAAATTGGAAAAGGCCCTTATGTGTTAGGAATGCTGTTTTTGCTTTGTCTTGCTCAGAAACTTTACATTGCCAGTATCCTGATGCTAAATCTAACTTACAAAACCATTGCGAGCCTGCTAATAAATCGAGTGTATTATCGATACGAGGCAATGGGAATGCGTCTTTACGTGTTACTTTATTTAGTTGACGATAGTCAATACAAAAGCGAGTACTCCCGTCTTTTTTCTTCACTAAACAAACAGGCGCAGCCCTTGGACTCTGACTATCCTCGATTATTTTTCCCTCAAGCATTTTACTTAATTCAGTTTGTCTCAGAGCTATAGTAACTCGACGTTAGGGACGTTTTATAGGTTTTGAATCACCTGTGTCGATTGTGTATTTGTTTGACCAAAATTTCAATCTTGACACAAAAATATCTAGGAATTCAATGAGTACTTGTTTGAGTTTATTTGCCTGAGAATTATTTAGATTTTCCGAAGACCTTTCGTAAAGTTCTTGGAGATGTTTAGGTAGAACTGAATTATCTAATGTCTGAATTTGTTCAAAATTCGACTTTTCTTCAATACAATCTACGGTACTAAAACTAGCAACCAACATATCTCTACTCTGTGTCGTGTTTTTTCTGTAAGTATTGATAACACTCATACAAACTTTGCCATTTTTTGGATTCACCAAAGACTTTGCCATTAGTAGACCTCTACTTTATAATATAGGAAATGGTTCTACAAGACCAACATTCTCTCCTATCTCATTCTCAATCTCAACCTCTATCAACAATTCGGATTTCGCAGGAACACAAACATCGCTCTTCATTTTCACTCTTGTGCAATATGTAGCACCCTCTCTGAACAATTTAATCTCTTGTCCATCTAAAATCAAACACTCGTCTTTGATATTTAATTCTGATTTCGAACTGGTCAAGAAATCTATACCCAATATTCCCTCTAAACCAGATTCTAACTTTGCAACGTACACATTTTGAGAAACAAAATTTTTCCAATCTTGAAATTCAATAGTAGTTGCCCAATCACATTCAAGCAGCTTCCATCTGCTGTAGTGAGATCTATAGTCTCTCGTGATATCAAAGACTTGTCTAATTTTAGTCCCTTGATGATTTTTTTCTGAGATTATGCTAACAGAGGCACCCGTATCTACCAACATTTTCACAGGAACTTTATCTACAAAAATCTTCACAAAAAGACGCGATCGAATAGAGTTCATTTTCAAATTAGGCCATTTTATCCCTTCATTTTTTAAGTTTTGTTCATGCTCTGGTGTGGCTGGACTTTCGGCCTCAAGACCAGCCCTTAATGTAAAGTTATAACCAACAAATATGGCGTTCAATACTTTATCTCAAGATAGATCAGGGCCGCTTACAACATATACAAAACTTGCAGTGCTTATATCATTGAGAATACACAAAATTAAATGTGATAACATTACATCTCCCCTTTTTAGAGATTTTTTTTTCTTTCTGAAAAAAATCATAAGAACTTAAGCATGAATTAAAGTCAATTCACTAGAACATTGAATTAAGTAATTAACAGTTTATGAACAAATAAAGTCCTCAAGATATTTAGGTCGTCTCACTGTACGCTGTGGTCTCGGTTCTTGACGCGGAGCGGTCAACGAATCTGATTGGCTCGGTTGCGGCTGAGGCGGCTTATCCAACATCGATTCGGTGCATTTGTCATCTGGGACAACCGATGGCAAGGTAGTTTCACCAGTTTTGAGCAGCTGTCTGCGGTTTCTGCGATAAAGCTTGTTATCACCTGTGCGCACTACATAAGATCGGTCCGAATGTTCCTGATCTACTACAGCAGGTTCCCAGTGTTTTGAATCTTTCTGTACACGTATTATTTCACCTCTGTTGATGCTTGGCAACGTTGAAGACTGGCGATCATAATAGTGTTTTTGTTTCTCTTGGCGTGCGACAAGTTTCGGCTTGCAGGATTCAACAACTTTAGGATTCAACATGTCCGATGTTATTGGTATCTTCGTACGCAACTGTCTATTCATGAGTAGCTGGGATGGTGAAAGTCCTACTCCATCAATCGGTGATGCTCGGTAGTTCATAAGACTTGTATAGATGTCAGATCCAGATTCATCAGCTTTCCTGAGCAGATTCTTTACAGTCTGAACACACCTCTCCGCCTGTCCATTTGATTGTGGGTATCTGGGACTTGAGGTGTTATGAATGAAATCCCAATCGGTAGCGAACTTCTTGAATGCGTAACTCGAGAACTGAGGTCCGTTGTCCGTGAATAGTTCCGTCGGAATGCCATGACGAGCAAACACAGATTTAAATGCAGTGATTGTTTGTGAACTGGATGTTGTAGGCATTCGGACTATTTCCGGATATTTGGAATAGTAATCGACACACAAAAGGTATTCCGAACCTTTGAACTGAAACATATCAGCTGCGACTTTGGCCCATGGACGCGAGGGAATCTCCTGAGGAATCAATGGTTCCTTACAATTAGAATTCCTGTACTTGTTACACACTGCACATTGTCCAATAAAGTTTTCAATATCCTGGTTCATCTTTGGCCAAAATAGTATTTCTCGTGCTCGTGTCTGTGTTTTTACTATGCCTAGGTGGGCTTCTGTAGCTTATTCAACATCTCGGTTTTCAAGCTGATCGGTACCATTAGTCGTTGGCCTTTGTACAAGAGTCCATCTATGGCTGTTATTTCATCACGGTAATTCCAGTATTGAATGATATTCACCGGAACACTCGACCGTTCAACTGGCCAACCAACCAATACCGTATTCTTCAGCGTCTGTAATGTCTCATCTGCAGCAGTTGCCTCTTTGAGCTGTTGCAGTTTTTTCCGGGGACACAGGAAGTTGTGCCTCAATCGAATTTACATCTATCTCATCATCAACGAGAATCTCGGGAGTCTCTTTCAGGTAAGACCGACTCAATGCATCTGAGATATGCATCTCTTTACCTGGTACATACACTAGCTTGAGATCGTAGCGCTGTAGCTTCATAAGCATTCGCTGAAGTCTCGGAGTCGCTCGGTAAAGTGGCTTGTTGTAGATTGCGACGAGGGGTTTATGATCTGTTTCCACAGTCACACTTCGCCCATAAATGTAGTGATGAAACTTCTCGCATCCATACTACACTATCGCTAACATCTCACGTTCAATCTGAGCATACCGCTTCTGTGTCTCTGTTAGCGCACGCGATCCATATGCTACAGGATGCCCATCCTGGAGAAGTACTACTCCTAGACCTTTCGAGCTTGCGTCGCCTGAAATGGTTACTGGCTTGCGTACGTCGTATATACTTAGTACCGGTGAGCTGGAAACTAACTGTTTCAGTCTGCTGAAGCTCTCCTGCTGAGGCGAATCCCAGTGCCATTCTACATCTTGTTGTAGAAGCGTACGAAGTGGAGCTGTCACGTCAGACAAGTTCGGTATGAATTTCGCTACATACTGAACAACACCTAACACCCGTTTCACTCCTGATACATCTGTTGGTGAAGGCATATCCACTATCGCTCGAACTTTCTCAGGATCTACTTTGATACCACTGTCCGTAATCAAGTGTCCTACGTACCTCACTTCTGGTACACGGAACTCCACCTTACTCTTATTTAACTTAAAGTTCATTTCGCGACACCGTTGTAACATCTGTTGTACACGGGAATCATGTTCCGCAGTGGTCTCACCCCACACTAAGATGTCGTCGACAATGCATTCCACGCCCTTCAAGTCAGAAAACATCTCCTGTACCCGTTTCGAGAATACTTCTGGCGCGGAGCTTATTCCAAAAGGCAAACGTAAGTACCTATACCGTCCAAACGGGGTATTGAATGTCAATAACTTAGAACTTGGCTCATCAAGTTTGATATGCCAGAAACCATGGGTGGCATCAAACTTCGAAAACACTTTAGCTTGTGGCAGCTGTTCGATCACTTCTTCAACTGTTTGTAAGTGGTAGTGCTCTCTCTTGATCGCATGGTTCAAATCCTTTGGATCGATGCAAAGTCTTATCTTGTTTGGTTTGCGCACAGTAACTAGACTATGTACCCAGTCAGTTGGTTCATCTTGCTTCGTGATAACCCCTAGTGTTTCCATTCTCTCAAGTTCTGTTTTTACTTTGTCACGTATCGCTGCAGGAACTTTTCGTGGTGGATGTATGACCGGAGTAATGGTTTCATCAATGTTGATGTGGTGTTTCCCAGGGAGCTCACCTAGTCCTTTGAAAACATCCTCATAGGTTTTCAGTACATCCTCCTTTGTCAACTGTTTTTCAACAGAATGTACTCGCACAATAGATCCAATCTCCGAACAAGCATTTTTGCCAAGTATTGCCTGTGCCTTTGTATTGACGATGAAAAATGGTAAGTCATATTTTCGGCCACGCACAGAACATTCCAGAATCTTTGTTCCCTTCGGTGTTATCTCGGCTCCACCATATGTGACTAATCTGACCTTCGTGTGTGTGAGCTGCTGATCATTTAGGTCTAATTGATCAAAAACATGTTTAGGAAGAATGTTCGCTTGAGCACCAGTGTCCAGTTTGAAGTTTACTTTGTGGTCATTAATTGTCAATGTCTCGATCCAATCACTCTTTTCTTGATCCACTGTGTTAATCTGTAAGGTTCCAATGAAAAGTTCTGTATCCACATCTGAGTCACTGTCATGTGGTACTCCTACAGTGTGAATCTTCTTTGCACTTGTCGATTGTTTTGACAAACAATATTTCGCAAAATGATTCTTCTTCTGACAACGGTGACAAATTTTTCCGTATGCAGGACAGTCACCAGTCATATGTTTTCTTCCACAATTGCGACATGGCTTACCTCCAGTACTGTCAGGCCTTTGATTTTCAGTTCTTTGTTTATCATGTTTTGTGTTCTTTTGTGAGCTGAGTTTCCGACCACTATTTGACTTACGTATGGCTGCTATGGACAGTTCCTCAGATCCTTTCAGAGATTTCAACTGTTTTGTACTCATTTCTTGAGCTCGGCACACATCGATTGCTTTGCTCAGTGTCAAATCAGTTTCTCTTAATAAACGTGCACGACATGCTTCATCATGAATACCACACACTATTCTGTCTTTGATTAATCCGTTCGTTAAATGTTCGAATTCACAAGGCTGCGCTTTATTTTTCAAATCTGTCACATAATTGTCTATGGGCTCGTCCTGGCCCTGATTCCTCGTGAAAAACACATGTCTAATGTATGTCAAGTTCTTACGAGGCTCACAGTACTCTTTAAACTTAGTTTTCAATATATCTATCTTTTCCGTATCCTCGCCTTCGAGACCGAAAGAATTATAAACACGGCGTGCTTCGATGCCGGCCACGTGCAAGAAAGTAGATACCTGTATTTTCTCGGCTTTCTCTGCAATTCCTGTTGCTGTTAGATAAAGCTCAAAACCTTGTATCCACTCCTTCCAGTTCTCCGCAAGATTTCCTTCCATCGAAAGATGGTCTGGAGGCTTTAGTTGCTCCATTAATCCTTGCGTTGTACGGTTTTAGCTTCTGACACCATGTAAAGTTATAACCAACAAATATGGCGTTCAATACTTTATCTCAAGATAGATCAGGGCCGCTTACAACATATACAAAACTTGCAGTGCTTATATCATTGAGAATACACAAAATTAAATGTGATAACATTACACTTAATAGTTTTCCGGTATGGGAACATTAAATCCCGACGCTCGAATGTGCTTGCGGATTCGAACCCGCGACGTAAGGATTGAATCCTTACTTCGCGACTCTAGAGCAGACGCTCTAACCACTGCGCCACGCGGGCGACTCCAGTTCATAGACGAAAAAATTCTAAGAACCATCCATATTTCTAAACTTGTGACATGATATAAAATCTTTCTCAAAGATACAATTTGTTTGTATCATCTGTCCTTAAATGCAGAATGGCTGGGGGGGGGGATTCGTAATATAATAATGATATTGTTTTCAGCACTATTTATTTTTTTTTTCTTATCGGGGGTGGAGGATGTCTGTTTAACAAAAATCAAATTGCATAGCATTTAAGTGGGAAGGGGGGATAATTGGCATACGTAATTGGACAGTTTCCCTTATGCCTAGCAGAAACATATCACGTATGCTTTATGTATATTTGAGTGATTTTAATTATTTACCTACCTAAGTATATCTCACGGTTCCAGGCAATATTGCATTTTTTTCGTAGTGAATATAACAATGTACATGTACATCGAAAGGTTAACTGAACTTTTGGATTGTATATACAGCTTTCAGGAATAACGTGCATCCTAAATTCCCAAACACCGATTGGAATTTGAAAATAAAACTGCGGTGTTCATCAAATTCATTTAATCTGGTTCCCGCAGACTCAACAGCCTTCTAAAACTAGTTCCCTAGCGGAAATGATTACTGTCAACTCGTACATAAAATGTCAAGATTTCGAGACAGTAAAAACGCGATATCTGAAGAAATAATTCAACAATGGACCTGAAAATGAATAGGCTTCATCATCTTATACTACTACACAAGTATGTAAACGCTGAGGGCGGTAAATGCAGAAGTTCTCTGTCAATCTTGCCCACAAATGATTATTGTCAACTCGTACGTAACATTTCAGGAATTCGAGGCATTAAAAACACGATATCTGAAGAAACATTTCTACAATGAACTTGAAAATGAATAGGCTTCGTCCTTTTATACTGCCACACAAGTATGTAAACGTTGAGAATTGTTAATGCAAAGGTTTTCTGTCAATCTTGCCCACAAGGTGTAGCGAACACACTAACATATACACATTGGTGATGCTATATCCCCTCCGCAACTAGTTGCGCGAGGGGATAATAAGTACCAGAACTACCTAAATATAGCTATAAAATGTCAAAATTAGAAAATGTTCCAATGCTCCTGGCACTTGTATAACCACTGCTACAAATGCTCCTAGCACAAGTAGAACCAATGCTCCTGACACTTATAGAAGCCCAGCTACCACTGATCCAGGCACTAGTATAAGAACTGCTACTTATGTTCCAGATACTAGTAGAAGAGATGCTACTGATGGTTCAGACACAAGTAACACATGCGCACCTACCTCAGGAATTAATACTAGTGTACAAATAATGATAATGGAAGAAAGTGGTGCATGTTCTTCTTTGAGCAATGCTGATCAAAATTCATCAGAACTCGATGATATGCCAGGTTATTTTTTTTTATAAAGTATTGCATAGTGCAAACAAAAGGGTTGTTTCAATATCATTGTACTTTGTCATTCCATTGTACACATATCACATGTAAATATAGGTTATTGAAATAACGCAATGACAATGAAGTCTGCAGGATTGATAGAATTTAATTAGCCTCTCCGTTTCTCCGTCTCTCTATCTGTCTTAGCATTTTTGTATGGGAAATAAATTGCAAAAGACATTGTACTTATACAAAGATTAATGATCATAATGTGTCAAAGCTTTGAGCAAAGTGTATTCGACAAGTTCAGGGCAAGTGGCTGAGAAAAGTTAAGTAAATGTATCATAGTATGGTCTAGAGTTTTTTGAAAAAGAGAAAAATTCGAAGTATATAA